AATTTCTTCTTATTCGTGTTCTTTTTATTCGTGTGTGTGTGTGTGTGTGTGTGTGTGCGTCCTGATAAGTTTCATTATTTGTTTACAGTGAGGACTTATTCAGAGAAGCATGGGCACCTTACCAGCCATAAAAGAAATGTTTCCTATTTGCAACTTCTCTTGAAAACATGGAAGATTTTCCCCTTGGAGAAAACGGAATTGCAAATTTTTCCATGATGTCACTGTGACATGGCATCAGTAGGGCAGGGCTGAGAAGTCGCTGCCCTTCAGCAAGAATCATGTCTGTAACTCTCAGGTCTTTGCACTACTTCTTTATACAGCCACTGATTGGTTTTGGTCATTGATGCTACTTACTCAATGCCTGTGCTTGGGCTCACACTGCTCATCTTACTTGATACTGGGATGAGCCAGTTCAGAATGGCTGTCTTTACAAGATACCAGGATGAGGTGGTTCATAAATGCCTGTCTTGATACCATAATGAGCCAGTTCATAAATACCTGTCTTACTTGATACTGGAATGACCAGGGTCATAAATGCCTGTCTTACTTGATAACTGGGATAAGTGGATCATAATGCCCATCTTACTTGACACCAGGATGAGTGGGTCCATAATGCGTATCTTTCTCAATCTTAAAATCCTAGAGTGGATGTCATACCCTCAGAATTGTTCAAAACAAAAACAAAATGTCAGGCCTGTTGGCATTATAGACACACCTTTAATCCCAGCACTGTGGAGGCAGAAGTGAATCTTTGTGAATTAGAAGCCAGCCTACAAAGCGATTTCAAGAACCATCAGCACTATCTCATGTGTGCTGGAAATCAAACCTGGGTTACATGCAAGAACAACAAGTGCTCTTAACTTCTAAGCCATCTCTCCAGCCCCTGGATTTGGTCCTCAACAAAGTGGTGGTATAGATGCAAGGTTGGAGGTTACTGAGAAAAGTAAACTGAACAGTCCACTCCCGCAGCAGGGACTAGCTCTTTTTTACAAATGCCTGCATTTCGAGGGGAAGTTATAAGGCGTGCAAAGAGTTCTGTAGAGTGGTTGATGGTTAATAGAGACAACCAGGGAAAGTGAAGAAAATATGTAAGACTATGGAGTGCTAGACCCTAAACCTGCCATCTATATTACAAGAAACTTCTTCTGGACATGACCAGAGACACTGTGCCAATGAACTCCTGGCACAAGATCTTCACAAGATCAAGCAGTCCAATCAATATAAGATCCCTCCCACCCCTGCCTGAGAAGATGGCACTTAAGGGCTTGCTGCTCCAGGAGGGAGAGTGTGTTTTCTTCAGCAGCCCATGGTCATTGTCCCACACTCCAGGAGTGCATCATTGAGCATATGGGTAGCTCTAATTAGTTTACCCATATGGATAGTCTAATGTGGATTTGTTGTTTGGTTTGGGGGCATTTAAGTTGCAGGCAGAATGTGGGGAGATAGCCTGTGAGGAGTTAGAGAAGGGAATGTCTCTGTATATGCTTTAAGTACATGGTATTCACATATGAAATTACCAAAGAATAAATTTTAAAATGTGAAATTACCAAAGAATAAAGTGTATATGCTTTAAGTACATGGTATTCACATATGAAATTACCAAAGAATAAATTTTAAAATGTGGCTCTAAAACCTTCACTCAAGAGCTGGAGAGTTTGTTCAGCAGCAAGGATCACAGGCTATTCTTGCAGAAGACTAGGGTTCAATTCCCAGCACCCACATGCTGTCTATAATTTCATTTGCAAAGGATCTGATGCCCTCTTCTGGCTCCCTAAGGCACCAGGTACACATATGCTGCACAAACACACGGGCAGGTAAAACACACAAACAAACATTTTATAAAATAGAGCCTTCACTCAGGTTAATTTGCAATGCTATCTTTAGTTTTCTACAAGCATTTTCAAGAGATCCAAAACATGTGCCTGAAACTGTTATGTAGGCCTAGAGAGATGGCTCAGCCATTTAAAGGCTAGGCTCACTACCAAAACATAAGACTTATACAGCTGCAGAAGGCATTTCCCTCTCAACTAAAGAAGAACTGCTATGTCTTCAAATCCGTCTTTTCTCAAGACACTGTTAGATGTGTTATTTGGGAAAGTTTTAGGTAAAAAAGAAATAAAAATGCCCATGTTCATTAACTCTCACAGCAGCACAAAGACTAGAAACCTAACATAACCCGTATCTGAGGGAAGATATGATATGTGTTACAGGCCCTAGAAGGTCCTGAGAGCCAACCACAAGCCACTATCTGTGTTATGGGGAACTACAGGGAGATGTTCAGATGTCATCTTTCTGTACACAAACTATCCAGGGTGCTCTTAAGACAAAGAAAGATGTGACAAGCTATTATCAGGGATGACACCACTTTTTAAACATAGACACCCCAGAACTTCCATAAACATAGTGTGCCGCGATCCTGGAACCCTGCCCAGGGGCTGCAAGGAAATAAAGGACAGGCACCCTGACACACATACAGAAAAACTGGGGTCTCATGGAGCAGCACACAAGTAACCAGTAAACTCCATGTGTTTAGTGTGTGCAGCTTAGCTGCTTTTAAAAGCAGGTTCCTGGAGGCAACAGCCTTGGGCTATAAACGGGAGGAGGAAGGTGCAGTTAGGGTACCATTTTTGCACATGCTGATCAATACTCCACAAACATCTGAGCTTGGACCAGAGGAAAAAGAGGGCTTTGCCAATTTCCCTTGGGTCCTATTCATGGTCCACATCAATAATACACATTCACTTGGGATGTGGTCATGTCTGTCTATGTGTCTGTCTGTCTCTCCATCTCCACCCCATGTGTGTGTATTAAAATATTCCATCTGGTAGGAAGCTCCTTAAGTTGTGCAAGAAACTAACTCAAAATAGCTTCAGGAAGTCCGTGAAACTGACCAGATTCACTAGGCTTCTCCTTGCCAGAGTAGACAAGCCAAGATGCAAAAATGACTGCTATCTGGAAGAGGTGTAGACCAACTGAGTCATTTGGAAAGGACACTCTCCAAACAGTTGAGCTACCTACAGGCTGTGCAGTGTGCTCCAGGTCCACAGCTTTTCTGAGCTGTCACCATGCTAAGGTGGGCTTTGGGGATGCAAATCCCCATCTGTGAATCATTTCTGCTCCTTCACTCATGTTCCTGTAAGTAACTCATGGTTCACCAAGTTGGATTCGGGTAGTGCTGCACTTTGGTCTGCTGTGGGCTCCCCTGCTGGGGTGAGTAGATGTGTGTTGAGTCCCCCTAGCAAAAGTTGCCACACAACAGTGTGTATATGTGCACATGTATGTGTATGGGCATGTACAGGCCATGATATATGTGTGGAGGTCAGAGGACAGCTTACAAGGGATGCAAGTCCCAGGGAATTGATTTAGGTCATCAGGCTTGGGAGCAAGAACCTTTACCAGATGAGCCATCTCATTAGTCTAGTGCATTGCTTTGAATTAAAATAGTAGGTCACATGACTTGAACACACACACACACACACACACACACACACACACACACACACCTCAAGATCTCACTCAGTACCTAGGCTGGCCTCAGACTCACAATCCCCCTGCCCCAGCCTCTAGCCTCCTGCATGTTGAAATGGCAGGTGGACATACCACACCTGATTTCAAGACATTTTCTGAAAAATGTCAACAGTTCTGGTTTCCACAAAAGTTAACAGAGTCAGGTAAACACCATCTTTTATACCTAGATTATAATGGTACACCAGGATGGTAACACCAGAAGAATTATCATTTTGCCCCAGGCAGTTCATCCCAAGATGCCACTATGAACTAGTTGCCATTGTCATCACCACTTTGCACATAGATTTGAAGAAAAAGTCACCTTGCCCGAGTCTACCCAGCCTGAGTCCCATTGCTACACGTAAGTGAAGAAAAGCAAGTCTAGAGTCTGAGTTATTTTTCTGTTGCTCAGTGCTGGAGACCCAAGCCTCACATGCACTCTACACACCCATCCAAGGCTGAGAGTTTAAATACCATTACATCACAGAACTTTCTATGAAGCCAGATGAGAAAATCCTAAGGTCTCTGTTGAATCACCTTTTTATTTTTTATTTATTTATTTTCTGTTTGTTTGTTTTTCAAGATGGGGTTTCTCTCTGTGTAGCTTTGGAACCTGTCTTAGAACTAGATCTGTAGTCCAGGCTGGCCTTGAACTCACAAAGATCTGCCTGCCTCTGGAAGCAAGGATGTGGTGGATTAAAGGCTTGAGTCACCAACACCCAGCAAATCAACTTTTTTTTTTTTTAAAGTGCTTAAATATAACATTAGTATCCAAATATGCTTTATTGTATGCAAATTCTAGAAAACTTGGTTCATACAAATTCAGTTCTTTCCAGTTAATTCCTCATTCCCCAGCCACTCTGTAAATATGAGTTTTCCTCTTTGTCCCTTCACGTCCCTTTCACACGCACATGCTGCACCTGCTCCATGTCCATTGTAGAAAGAACATTAGCCAGAAGGCAAGTGACTTGACAACTCTTTTTCAGGAGAACAAAAACAGAGAAAGTCTCTCTTTAAAGTACCACATGATAAAGTGTTAAAAAAATGAAGTGTCGCATGAGAATAATAAGTGACACTTTAAAAAAAGTGATAGCTGAGGAGCTACTGAAATGTAATCTACCATTTTCTTAACCAGAGGAAGGTGTGCAGTTTCTCCTTTTTAAGAGAACTTCTCTCTCACCGTCTTTCTGAGAACTCTCTTTAGGATCTCAAAGACTCACAGTCCCAATGTTTCTTCTTCAAGACACTGCCTCTCATGAGGACTGTCCTCCATGCCATCTTAAAAGCGTGAAATGAGTGACACAAAACGACTCAACTCCAGGTGCGTTTTCATCTACTTACAGGGAGGGCTGCTGAATGTGACACAAAGAACAAGAGTGTGGCAGGAACCCAGGAGTTCAGTGAGAGTGTCCACCAAGCCATGTTGGAAAACACTGGCCCGGTCACCCTTAGGCACTGCTGTGTCTACTTGACACCATGGGAAAGTCAGAGACCTCCATCCCTGTGGATGCCGGAAACAGGTTCAGATTTAACAGCACAGCGGGTCACTTGGGTTGAAGCGGTCTTCTCAAGCCGATTCTCTGTTGCCTTAGTGCCACCTGGATCTCCTCACGAGCCTTCTCCTGACACTTCAGCTTGGTTAGGCGCTTCATTTCACACTCGTTTTCAACTTTGATGGCTAAAGGATAAAGCAAATGAAGCCAACTGAGGGGCATTTTCACCTGGTACCCACTCAAAGCACAGAGCAGGTGGACACCGTTAAAAATTAACAACTTGACCAAGGACAGTTAGGAATCATGGGTGTGGATAAGAAACTTAAAAGTACTGTGATCACTAGCAGATGATAATTGACTCAATGATTAAAGTAGATTAAAAAACGAAGAAGAAAATAAAAGGAAGAAAGGAAACTCACATTGTGCTGAAGGGAGCAGGCCACCCTTGATGGTTTTGCATGTTGCTAGCTTTATGGGACTACCAAATGCAATTTCTCCCAAAAACGGCAACCTGATGTTCGTTAAGTTTGTGTACCAGGTCTTTGTGAGCTGTGCAAGGTCCCATGGTTCCTGTCTGAGGCAAAAGTTCATGAACTTATTCAGTTTTTCGGGCATGCTATGTGAAACACAGACATCTTGCTATCTTGCTACCTTTCCCTCCAGATACCCTGGTAAAGACTATGCCAGAGTTTGTTCAAAGTGCAGTAGCCTACAGCTCCAGCCAATCCACTAATGCAATTGTAAATAGGAACTATAAGCTACAATGTCTTTTTTTTTTTTTTTTTTTTTTTTTTTTTTTGGACACAGGGTCTCACTGTGACACCCTGGCTAGCCTTGAACTTCTATAGACCAGCCTGGCCTCAAATTTAAGATCTGCCTGCTTCTACCTCCCAAGTGCCGGGTTTAAAGGTGTGTACCACCATACCCCCCTGCAATGTCTTTTGTGGATTAAATATTGTGAGCTGGATATGATAGAGCACACTTGCAACCCTGAGAGTGGATAGACACAACTACAATCCTAGTACTTAGGAGGCAGAGGCAGAGGATGATGAAGTTGAGGCCAGCCTCAAATGTATTGTAAGTTCCAGAGCAGCCTGGTGCACACATGATAGAACCCTGTCTTAAAAAAACAACAAAGAGATGAGACTGGAGAGATGGCGCAGCAGTTAAAAGCACTCGCTGCTCAGTGCACAGAGAGATATACTTATACACAACAAATAAAGAAGTCGCATCACACCTTGATCAGGTATGTAGCATATACAAAGACTTCATATATAAACTGGAGAAATAAATGAAACTACAAACTACATTAAAATGATTGCTATGGACTTTAATATTGCTTAATTCTGAGGGACGAATATCAGCTACTTGTCTCTTATCTGCAGTCCATATTCCTTCAGCCCCATTTACTTTAATGAGTGGGGGAATACTATGTGACATATGCCAGCCTTTGATTTTTTCCCCTCCAGTTTTCCTGATAACTTCACCAGGCAATTTGTTTTGTTTTGTTTTGATTTTTGAGACAATGTTTCTCTGTAGTTTTGGAGCCTGTCCTAGAACACACTCTGTAGACCAGGCTGGCCTGGAACTCACAGAGATCCACCTGCCTCTGCCTCCTGAGTGCTGGGATCAAAGGTGTGTGCCGCCACCACCACCTGGCTTATCACACAATTTTAGGAAGTGACTTAACAATGTCAAATTATTATAGAAGCAGTTTAAAAAAATCACAAAAGGGACTAGAAAGACAGCTCAGAGGTTAAGAACACTGGCTGCTCTTCCAGAGGTCCTGAGTTCAATTCCCAGCACCTACATGGTGGGCTCACAGCCATCTATAATGAGATCTGGTGCCCATTTCAGGCCTGCAGGGGCATATATAGGCATAATACAGTATACATAATAAATAAGTTGTTAAAAAAAAGAAAAAAATCACAAAGATACATTTATAAAAATTCTCACTCTAATTTAAAAAGACAAAAACCAAAACAGATTTTAAGATGGTTCTGCAGGTCAGAGTTCATGCCAGCAAGATCAATGACTCAGACTTGATCCCTGGGATCTCTAGTGGTGGGAGAGAGCCAACTCCCACACACTGTCTTCTCTGACTCTCCATGAATGCGCTGTGGCATGTGTTTTGTTTGTTTGTTGTGGGTTTGGTGTGTTTTGTGTCTTATTTTATTTCCTTTGATTTTGTTTTTCTCCTAAATTGCCCAGGCAGGTCTTTAATTTATAATCCCCCTGCCTCAGCCTCCCAAGTGGCTAGGATTACAGGCCTGTGCCACCTGGCCTGGCTAAAATTACACTTGTAATGATATTTACTTGAATGGTACTTTATGTAATCCAAGGTCTAAGCAGACACAACTGACAAAACTAAGAGGAATGAATCGTAGCTTCCCTGCCACTTTAGTCATGCAGCCTTTAAGGATATACAGATATCTTAGAGCATGATTTAAAAAGGAAACCTTGCTTGACTAATAATAGTAAATGCCATAATCCAGAGGATAGGAGTTAAAAAGTAAAAGTCAAGCATGCCTGTGCATGACTTTTAATCCTGGCGCCTGGAAGGCAGAGGCAGAAGCCGGAAGACAGCCTGGTCTGCACAGCCAAACAGCTCATTCGGGCGAGCTAAAGTCACACAGTAAGACCGTCTCAAAACACATTGTAAAACAAATGCAATTCTCTAAGGCAATACCACAGATCGCAACTACTGTGTGGTGGTAGCAATGCATGTTCATTATGTGTTCCCTGTATGGCAGGCAACCAGCAGGTCTTAGACATGTGTCAGTTCATTTGCAAGTCCCACCACAATAGATAAGCATGCACTGTTACAAACATGGGAGGTAAGACTAAGACACAGGGTACAGAGGGAGCCAGGCTTGGAGCCCAGGGCTCCAGACTGAAAAGTCCATGCTGACATACACTGCCAAAGAGGATGGGAAGCTAAACTGACCCTTTGCACACCAACTATGGAAGTGCTCTATACAAGTGTTGGGACATTTGTATACTCTAAAGATGTGTGTTAAGATGGCAGCTGTAAAGGTTTTTTTGAATTCCTGAAACAAAATAAAGAAATACAGACATATAAATTTAAACATATATGTTAAGAAACCTGCCAGGTGGTGGTGGCACACACCTTTAATCCCAGCACTTGGGTGGCAGAGGCAGGGACATCTCGTGCATTTGGGGCCAGACTGGTCTACAAAGTGAGTTCCAGGAGAGCCAGTACTGTTACATAGAGAAACTCTGTCTTGAAAAACCATTAAAAAAAGAAAGAAACCCACTATTTTATATGCTAACCTAAAAATTAAAATGTTTTTAAATAAGATGACACAACCTTCCCCAGAATATCATAAACATATGACTGTGGTTTGATCAACCTAGAAACCTGTCTGCTCATTTCAAAGTCCTTTGTTGTGAGGACCAAATAGATTGTATCTTGGTTGTAACTGTCAACTTGACACACTCTAGAATATGACCTAAGAAGGAACTCTCAACTGAGGGATTTCCCAGATCACAAGGCCTGTGGGGGCTTATCTTGACTATTAATTACATAGGAGGGCCCAGTCCATGGTGGGCTGCACCACTACCTTGGGGCAGGTGGTCTGGGTATGTGTGGTTAGTTAACCATACACACATGTATGGGCATGAGCCTTGAGCCTGCCAGCAAGCAGTGTTCCTCTGAGGTTTCTTCTTCAAGCTCCTGCTTAGAGTTTGTGCTCTGGTTTACCCTCAGTTGTGAACTATGATGTGAAAGTGTCCTGGAAAAGACACCAAATAAATCCTTCCCTCCCCTGTATGCAAACTTTGAGTTCTTAGATTTTATATAGGTGTTTTGCTTGCACATGTGTATGTGAATTCCTGTTTTATGCCCACTGGGTTCAGAAGAGGGTGATGGGGCCCCTGGGACTGGAGGTAAAGAGCCAGCACGTGGGTGCTAGGAACCAAGCTGTGATCCTTGCAAAAGTAGCAGGTGTCCTTCATCCATGAGCCATCTCTCTAGACCCCATTTGTGTGTTTTTATAAAAGTAGTATTTGGGAAGCTGGAAGATGGGTTAAGAGCATGAACTGCCTTTTCAAAGGACCGAGATTTGGTTCCCAGAGGTCTTCTGGCCTCTATGGGAACCTGCTCAAACACAGTGCACAGACAAGGAGGCACATACATAAAAATAAATATTTTTTCAAGTAGCCTTTTAGAAACAAAATCCAGACACTTTGAAATGCTTTCATACACTCCATTAACTTGCTGGGAACAGGAGAGTGCCAAACCTGTCACAAATTCCAGCAATGCTACAGTAGTGTGTGTGTGTGTGTGTGTGTGTGTGTGTGTGTGTGTGTGTGTGTGTGTACTTACACTTTATAACAGCTGCCCTTCAAAATGGTCTGCACTGTGTTCCTTCTTGGCAAGCCATATGCCATGGCGAATGATCACAATCTTTTCCTTACATAGGAGCCTGATGTAGAGTCTCCGATGCTCTATTCACTTTGCCTGAAAGAACAGCAACAGTCCTAGTTAACAGTTCTAATTTGAACATTTTATAACCATATAGTCAAAAAGTCATGACAAATCTTTGAGGGGTGTCAGGAAACACTTTCGTAAACATTCGCTGGATCTGAACCCTGAACATAAAAGCTGGTTCTATTCGTTCCCAGGAAGTCGCTCCATAAGTTCAGCCACCATCTAAGGAGAGGGAAAACCAGGTGATGGTTGTCTGTGCGATATTGCAATTGGCAGCCTGCACCCTGGCACCATAGATGCCTGCGCCTGAGTCCCCACACCGGATCTCGCAGCTGCGCGCCCTTGTGGCTGTGATAGGGACCCTGAAGCTCTATACCCCGGCATGGCCAAGCTTGCACTGGACACCTGCAGTTCCAGACAGAACCGGCTGGGGCGGAGCAGAGAGTTGCCCTCTTGGCCCTCCCGCGCCCATCCGCTCCTGACCCTCTGTACCCGGCTGGAGCCGCGGCCCGCGACCCAGGGCGGCACGCGCTAGGCGCACATGGCCGCGCACTCGCAGCCGCCCCGCCACGGACACGCGCCTGCCTGCTTGCTCGTGATCCTGCCTGCTCCTGCTCTGGCACAGGCTTGCTTGCTCATGCGCTCCGGCTTGCCTGATGCCCTGCGTCACCCGCCTCCTCAATAAAGGGCTTTGTGTGCTTGCACAGAGTGCTCGGACTCAACCCGTCCGCGGTGGGAGTCATCCCTCACGAGTGGGTAACAGCCTCTGTGCAAGCCCACGGTCAAGGCTCTGGCTCAGTTTCTACAAAGAGCAGATGGATTTGTGTGGATCGTCATCAAAAGAGTGACCACGGGGGTGGGGGCGTGGGGGGAGTGGGGGTGGAGGGGTGGCAGTCCATCTAGTCACTTCTTAGGGTGTCAAGCAAATGGTAGCACAACCCATGGTTTGCTAGAGCTGCTTCTGGCTAAGGCCAGGACCTTCCCAGTGTCCCTCCTCTGAGCTTAAGACTTCCTAAAGCAAGGAGAATAGCTTATGTGTAGATTTCCTGGGTTGTAAGGATTATAGATAATTTTTAAGAGTCTCTGACCCATGGAAGGGACAGATCATATCATCGTGAGTAGTGGGGACTCTTTAAAAACGTAGCGAGTTCCAGGGCCAGCTTTTAACGTCAAACACACCAATCCCTTTACCTGTCACACTTCTTTCCCGTTTGGTTTTGTTGAGAGAGTCCAAGATGACCTAGGACCACTATATAACCCAGGGTGGCTTTAAACATGCAAAGTCATCAGGCTTGGCAACAAGCTTTTATGCCTGAGCCACAATCCAACCTATACTTGGCTGGCAGGGGAGACATCATGATCATAAAGGTAATTTTCCCAGGGTGAGTCTTATCCATTGTATTCTGGACGTGTGGGGCCCTGCAAGTCCCCCAAATGTAAGAAACTCCACTGCATAATTTGTGGTAGTGGGGAACTATATTTACACCTTCGCCTGAATAAGGAGAAGAGTGAGCAAGGTAACAACAAACAAAACATTTTTACAGACATGTGCCCTACGATGATCTAGCAAACTCTCCTCCAGACCCATTCATAATCCTTAACTATATCAACAAAGAATATACAACACCACCACACCCCCACAGCCACAGGAGAAATAAAACAACATTCAAGGAGGTGGAAGAAGGCTACCCAATAAAGACCTGCAAATAAAGACCCTTTTCTGCATTTTCTATACCAAATTTGGAGCTGAAAACCCAGATTTCGTTCCCAGCACCTACATGGTGCTAACAACCATCTGAAACTATTGTTCCAGAGATTCTGACTCCCTCTTCTGGCCTCTGAGGGCACGCACAAACATGGTGCACAGACATATATGCAGAAAAAAATACCCTAACACATAAAATAAAAATAAGTCTTAAAGACTGGAGAGATGACTCAGCAGTTAAGAGCTCTGGATACTCTTCCAAAGGACCCAGCTTCGAATCCCAGCACCCACATGACCATTCACAGCCCTCGTAACTTCAGCCCCAAGAGATCTGACTTTATCATCTGACCTCTGCAGACACTACATACAGGCAAGGAGAAAACACTCTTACACACAAAAAAATATTGTTAAAAAAAATCTGGGTGGTGATGGCACACACCTTTAATCCCAGCACTCAGGAGACAGCAGCAAGTGGATCTTTATGAGTTCTAGGCCAGCCTGGTCTACAGAGTGAATTCCAGGACAGCCAGAGCTACACAGAGAAACCCTGTTGGGGGGGGGGAGGAAATACCAAATACCAAATTCTAGCAGGAAGGGACATAGGGTCAGTAAGAAAAGATAATGAACAAAATGTAAGAATATATACATGAAGTTCCTGGGATAAATCCCATTATTTTGCATGCTAACTTAAAAATAAATTGCCAAATTCTACCCCTCTTTTCTTCTTCTCTTCCTCCCTCCTCTTTGTGTCTCTTGTTTATGCCCATCTTCACCTCTCTCTCTGTCTCAGTCTCTTGCCCAGTTAGCATCCCTCGTTTTAATTGTTTGAGTGAGAGCTGCTGCCACCTAGTGTTAAAATTTAGAAAGAAGACTGCAGAAAAGAGGTGTGCCCAAACATAAACTCAGTAACTAATATCGTTTGCCATGTTTTAGATGGTCACTTAATTACTACATGATTGGCGGCCTGCTGGGATTAAAGATGTGTGCTACCACTTCTAAGTTTTTATTGAGCTTTTATTTTTTTCAAGACAGGGCTTCTCTGTGTAGTCCTGGCTGTCCTGGAACTTGGTCTGTAGAACAGGCTGGCCTTGAACTCACAGAGATCCTCCCGCCTCTGCCTCACAAGTCCTGGGACTAAAGGTGTGCGCCACCACTGCCCAGCACAATGAAAACTTTAAGACAATGAAAAAAGAAATTGAAAAGTAAAAAGATTTGGAGAAGACTTCCAGTTCTCCTGAATTGGCAGAATTAATACTGTGAAAATGACTAACCTACAAATTCTATAAAAGCCCATCAAAATCCCAATGCTATTCTTCCTAGAACTAGACAAAAAAAGAAATCCTAAAAGTGTTATGGAGACACAGAGACAACACAGCAATCCTGACCAGAAAGAAGCTTCCAGCAATGCCACAGTACCTAACTTTATACTGCAGTCTCTCACAGTGACAAAGACAGTACAGTGAGGGCACAAAAGCAGACATTAGACCATTCAACATAATAATAAACCCAGAAATGAACGTACACAGTTATAGCCTCCCAATGTTTTATGAAGGGGTCAAAATAAATATGGGAGTGGAAAAGCCTATTTGACATATAGTGCTAGGAAAAACTGGATACCCACCTGTAGAATAAAAATACATTGTTTTATCTTTCTGCACAGAAACCAGCTCAAAATAGATTAAAGACCTAGTGCTAACACACTGAATTTGCTAGAGCACGGTGTTGAACATTTCAAAATACAGGCACAGACGGGGGTTTCTAAACAGGACTTGGGTAGCAGGAAGAAATCCCTGAGTTAGAATGAGATCACAGCAAAGCAAACCAGCAGCAAACTGAGCAGCTGGTCCATGGGGTGCAAGAAAGTCTCAGCAGCTCTACAGACAGGGAGTGAATAGTAGAACATATGGGAAGATCTGCAGAAATTAAACTCAAACAAATTGCCAGGTGTTGTCACACATACCTTTAACCCCAGTGCTTGGGAGGCAGAGGCAGGAGAATGGAGTTCGAGAACAGCCTGGTCTATAGTGTGAGTTCCTGTATAGCCAGGGCTACATAGAGAGATCCTGTCTCAAAGAAACAACAAAAAATAAATAATAACCTGCAACCAGATGGCACATGCCTTTGATCCCAGTACTAGGAGGCAGAGGCAGGTGGATCTCTGAGTTCGAGTCCAGCCCAGTTTACAGAGTAAATTTCAGAACAGCCACAGTCACATAGTGAGACTCTGTCTTAGACTAGTCCCAAGACAGCCTCCAAAGCTACATAGAGAAACCCTGTATTGAAACAATAACAAAACAAAAAGAATAAAATTGAGAAATTGAACTGGGTATAGTCAAGTTTGCCTTAATCCCAAAACTAGGGAGGCAGTGGCAAGTGGATCTGTGAGTTCAAAGCCAACCTGGAGCCCACAGTGAATTCCAACTCTGGACACAAGGTCCCTCTGCCTCAGAGGGCACCACATTCATATGTACACACCCACATATGTAACACATACACATATATATTCAGTTGAAGGTAGTTCATTTAGTCGGGGCAACACAGGACAGGAGGACCTGAAGTGCAAACTACATCCAAACTCTCGTCTTTTCCCAGCCTTTTCCCAGTACTAGGCCTCAGTACTCATATGTGAGACAGAGTCGATTGTGCATACATGCATCATGGTCATAATTTGAGACTGCATATTAAGATATAAGAGAAGGTTTAGCACATGCTATAGAATAAATACAAACTCAGTATTTTGAGAATTTGAAAGTAAAAATTTAGGTCAGACAAGGTGAAGCACAACTTAATCCCAACACTCGGGAAGTTGAGACTGAAGGACATAGAATAAGATGTTTCAAAAACTCAAACAGAAAGTTAAACTTAGTTTTCTGTATCCTTCCAAAACAATAGAAAGAGGCTTGGAGGAACGTAGTCAAGGGAGTGCTTGCTAAGCAGGTGTGAGGCCCTGAGTCTGAGCTTCAGGTAAGAAGCCAGGCATGCTGGTGCTCACCTGCAATCCCATCGCTGCCCAGGAGTAGGGAGGGTCCTCAGGCCTAGCCTACTTGGTGCTGTCTCAAAAACCAAGGTGGACAGCTCAGGAAAGACAATAGCCAAAGTTGACCTATGGCCTCTACATGCATGTGTACCCCTGTGCACATTCTCCTGCACACAGAGGGGTCCTGTGTGTCACTACCCACAGGAGACTGTCAATCCTAAACTATTAGATGAGCAAATGATCAGTGGAAAAATCTGCAACAACCAAATCTTGGGAAGTTATGCAACATTTTGCTTTTTGCTTATGGCCCTTCTGGGAAGGCAAAAGAAGTTTTGTTTTATGGGACAGGTTATTTTAATATGGTTCAGACTGATTCCCAATTCCCCCATGTAACCCAGGCTGACCTCAAAATCATAGTTCTCTTGCATCAACCTCCCAAGTATTGGGATCCTAGGTAGATGCCACCATATTTCCAACCAGAAAAATTCAAGCAGATACAAGAACAAGAGATTAATGCAATGAAGTCACCACACCCTGTACCCAAGTAACAGTTGACCCTCAAGGTCGGTTTACTGGAAGTCACCCAGGAGACTTCCAAGGCACACCTCTGAGTGTGTGTTTCAAGACAGGACTAATTGGAGAGGAAGAAACCACATCTCATGGAATTGGAACTTTGCACAGATACAGGGGAAAGAAAAAAGCAAACAAGCATATAATCGCCTTTCCCTGTCTCCTGACTGGGATGAGGTGAGCAGCCTCCAACACACTTCCCCTGTCATGATGCTTTGCCCAAGTTCATGCAGGGACTGAAAGCTTTGAAACCATAAACCAAAACAAATCTCTCCTGTTTTTAAGGTATTCTGTAGGGATTTTGGTGTCAGTGACACAGAAATAACTGAGAAATTCATCAGCCACTAACAACATGCTTCCAACACCGTTTGCTCTGTCATTTCATGCCTTTAAAACGTGTTGATCTGCTTGGTGTAGTGCTGTAATTCCACAACACCAGAGGTAGGCAATTAAGAGTTAAAGGCCAATTGCAGCTACACATTCCAGGCCAGTATGAGCCTTTTCAAAAAGAAAAGGAAAGAAAGGAAGGGAAGGAGAAACAGGGGAGTCAGAAGGGAAGGGGGTGTCGGAGAGGTGAAAAAAGGGGAAAGAAATGTCTTCAAAAGCTCCCACCTTCAACCCCAGCACTCAGAGGCAAGCGACCTCTGTTAGTTCACGGCCAGCCTGGTCTGCATAGTGAGTTACAGGACAGCCAGAGCTACATAGTGAGACTCATTTGGAAAGAAAAGAAAAAGAAAATTCATTGATCAGTTATGTCACTTTTATTCTTTTTCTTGTGGTGATAGGAATTGAACCTCCCCTCTACCAATTAAGCAAGAGTCCAGCCCTGTCTATTGAGACAGAGTCTCTCTATGGCTCAGGTGGCCTTGACCTTCCCAAAGATGGGATCCCAGAGTGTTCCTGCCTAGTTGTGTCACTTTTTAATATTTACTTAAAATAAAATTAAAAATAGATGTCTCTGGAGCTGAACATTTTTTTAATTTTTTTATTATTATTTTATTTAATTTTATATAACAAAGTCCAATTAAATGAAAACAAACATTTATAGACAATATTTGGGAATTTGGGCATCGTTCTTTCCAAACTACTTCCTGCTGGTAAGGGACGCTGTCATGGGGGATTCGAAGAAGATTCAGAAATCCTGGCTGTAGTCTGTAAGGCTGTTTTGTCCAGCTGTTATGAATGTAGGATCACCTTGTACTCTGTTTCAGGCGGTCTGGCGTGATCAAACCACATTAGTC